GTCGTTCACCGTAACGCCTTATCGCCCAGCTCTTAATAGTCAAGGATATTCTTCTTCTTGTCATTCCCTGATGATGCTGTAGTACAGCGAAAGCTCGGATTCACGATATACATTTTCAACATCATAGCAGCCTTGGCTACATTTGTATACATTCTTTTTCTTAAAAATGTGTTTCCCAGTTTATCAAGGACTTATGAGTGCTGCCAAAAAATCGAGGTCACCCGGCAAGTCGTGCAGTCAGAGAGCGAATTAGTCAACGTCAAGCTCCGATTGGAACACTCGTGGGCCGTCAATTTGATCGAATCTCAAGACATCTTCGATCCCATCACCCGGCAAATTTCGCTAGAATTACTCGACAAACATTATCTGAGACCAAAGGCTCTCCATCTGCCTTCGTTCCATCGTTATATTCATCGAATGTGATGTCCTTGGCACCCAAAATCGACGAAATACGCCATTTTGTAAGCCACACCAAAGTTGACCTTATTTGCATAACAGAGACTTAAACCTCATATTCACGATAACATTGTCACTATTGACGGCTATAATATTGTTCGAAGGGACAGAGTTTCTATTGATCACGGAGGCGTTTGCACATATATTAAGAATGACACCAATTTCACTATCTTAGATGATTTAGAAGACTCCAATTTTGAAGTTCTTTGGATAAAGCTTCGACCTGCAAGGCTCCCAAGAGGATTTAGCTGTATTGTATTAGGAACTCTTTATCACCGGCCAAGGGCTAACGACACAGATATTCTACAATACATCAACACAAGCCTATCGCTAATTGAATCTAGATACCCTAACTGCGAGATTCTTTTAGCCGGCGACTTCAACCGTCTAAAAACAACGCGTTTGRAAAACAACTTTGAGCTTAAACAATTAGTGAACTTTCCAACCCGTGGTACCGCTACTCTTGACTTAGTGTTGACAAATCTAAAAAAATTCTACAACGATCCTCTTCAGAGGCCTCCTCATGCTTTATCCGACCATATGTCTGTCGAACTGCAAGCTAAAGACCGACCACTGCTCTCTGACCAGCGAAGTACTATCAAATCAAGAGATTTGCGACCAATCGTCTTGCGATGCGAACTTATCTGGAAAACGTAAACATAAACGCACATATCAACTCTGTTGACACCTGCTCTGAGAAAGTATCCGCCCTTGAATATGTTGTCCAAGTGGGTATGGACTATATTTTGCCGTTACGTTCAAAGTCAGTTCAATCTAACGAACCACTATGGATTAATTCCACTGTAAAGGAGCTCATCAAACAACGCCAAATACCTCTTTCCCAAGGAGACTTGCCTACTTTTCGCATTTTCAGAAACCGCGTCAATCGCGAACGTAAGACCTGTAGAGCAAATAGGCCGTATTCTGTGGTCGATTATCGTTCAGTTTCGCTGCCCACATCACAGAACTACTTTGAAATCACATAAATTTATAGTTTTTTACTTACTGAATGCAAATCTGCTTGTTTTCACTTCTAAAAACCTGCAGTTTTTTCATAAAGGCCTTCGAAAGTACGATAAAATTCTCTAGTAATTTCCCTATCCGCCATCTTGTTTTTGTTTGAATAACCGCTGACCTTCGGCTC